CCCCCGCCTTCTTGATTTATCTCCTGAGCGGGGTGAGGATGCTCCGTCGTCCGACGCACAGAAGAATTGGCAGAAGCAGGGCAAATGTTCTTTTGAAAGACACTCAGCCTATTGAAAAATTTGATTTTCGCATTTTCTTAAGTGAATTTAAAATGAACCAGCTCCTATCTATCATCAGGTTGCTTGTGGAAAAAAACTAAGTGGAATTACCTTAGCTGGAGTTCTCAGGGACTAAAGGAAAACATGGATATGTGCTGATTCTTCCAGCGCTATCAAGGAAGAACTGGAGAACTATTTTATGCGAGACCCTCCTTTGAACTCAGACATCCCTGAAGAGGTAACTCAGTTTTCAACAGAAATAGCATCTTCCACAAGTATATAGGGCTGCTTCTTTCTTGGTGTAATTCATTTTAATTTGAGAAATAATTTGAGAACTGGAAAAGTAGCAAAACTTTATATACTATGAACCAATAACAAAGCAAGAATGAAACAGGCTGCTGTGAGACACATACTTTTTATATCAATTGCCTATTTAATTTTTATATCTGAAACATAATTTTTTAAAAAAATATTTACCTTTGTAACAATTTACAGGTATATGTGGCTGTTGGAATATTTGTTGACTAAAAACTAATGATAAGTAAATTTTATTAGCCCATTTTAAAGGCCTTTTGGTGATGGTGGTTCCTTTAATACATGAAAACAAATATCTAAATAATTCAGCTGGAGTTAGTTTCCATATTGGTAATAAATAAAGCAACTAAACTAATTCATTTTTAAAGCATTAATCTGTAAAACATTGAAATAAGTAATGGCTTTCTAATGCGTGCTTTCTTTAAAAAATTAAACACATGCATGTTAAGGTTATAGCAGAACACAAAGAATAAAGCAATGATTAACTAAAATCTTCCTGACAGTAGTTTAAATTGTTAAATTGTTGCTGATGCTTCTAATGATTTGCTCTAGAACTTTCTCAGAGATTTGTGTCAGATGATTAATTAGTGTACTGGATTCCTCCCCCCTCCTCTTTGAAGATAAAGACATCTATAATTTTATGAAGCCTTTTCTCCAGGATTTTTCAATGGTCCAGTCTGGCCCAAGTTATTCTTTGAGTATGTCTCTGCTGGGGCTGTCTAATCCGTTGGATTTCCTTGGGAAGAAGTACTTGGGAAAACACAGCTGCTTTAGTAAGCTGCAGACAAGTGCTGTGTTTATGTTCCCATGCATTTCATCAAATGCTTCTGATTTGATGGGAAATGTTTATTTCAAAACATTTCCCATCAAATCAGAAGCATTTGATGTGCACGGTTCTAGTGATGTGCAAAATTTGTCTGTAACAGAACATTTTGGAGAATTCAGGAATGTTCCATAGAACTGTGGAACACGCTGAACTTCCTCTGAGACGACATTAGTCCAGCAGCAGTTCAGTGGTTTCTGGAATTAAATCTTCCAAACTGGAAACAGGTTGAGGTGTTCTGAACATGGTATTCTAGAATCAACAAATGTCATACTTCCCTACCTGGTCTCAGTGAACCTCAGGCAAAGTCTTATCCCTTCGGCCTGTTCTTCATATTTAAAGGGAGCTATTAAGCAGCAGAACAGCTTGCCTCCTGGAATCACGGCTGCTTTATCACTGGAGGTTTTCTTTAAAAGGTTGGACTGTCTTGGGTGGTCTGAGGAATCCCACACCGGATAGCGGGTTGGACTAGAAGGCCTCCAAGACCCCTTTCTACCCTGTGACCAGAAGGAATGTGTGCTCTCTTTTTCTAGAAGGCTGAGCAAAAATAGGAGTTGAGTAGTTCTGTTTTTTCATTGTTACCTGATAGCTTTTTGCCATCTTCACTGAGTAGCTGGTGTATTGTTTTCTTTATTTTGAATATTTCTGAAGATAGCTCTTTTTTTAGTATTCAGGCTATGCTCTTGTAAAAAATGACTTGAAAGAAATATTTGGATCTTACACAAAATAACATATCTCTCCTATTCACTATATCTTTGTGCCTTCTTCCATCCATAGTACCTCTCCCACTTTCTCCTTCTCTTCTGTCTTTTGCCTCCAACCCCATAAAATTCATTTAAAAACCCTCCAGATGAAGCTTGTCACACTTTGACCAAATATATCATCTTCTCTGACCACCTGAAGCACAGCCTCTTGTACATCAGCAGTCATTAATTCAAAGAGCTCACAACTTTGCAGGACCTGTATTGTTTTGCGTAATGGCACGGGCATCCCATTCCCAGTTTTTAAAAAGATTGCTTAAATTGCACGATAGGTTGATGAAATCAGCCTCAAGAGCTCTCGAGCGCTCATGTAGTAATCCTAAAATTTTAAACAGTTTGGTGATCCTGTGAATTTGGGGCCATATTTAAAAACTATTTTTTATTTGAAGGCCTGTAAACAAGATCTAGGGTGGCTGCAGAAGTCCTGGCTTCATGAGCATCATCTTGTCAACCCCTGGGATAGAGCGTAGTCCCAGAAATTCCATCTTTCCTGTTGTCTTATTCTAGAACCAGGCACTGCTGGATTTTTTCATGCTTTCCCTGCGGCCCGGACTCCTGACTGACTGTCCTAGGGATTCCATGTCTGAACTGATGCTGCCAGAAGCATCACAAGTGTTTCTGAGGGCCAGCAGAGCTGAGAATACCCTCTCATTCTGGCTTCTGACAGTTCTTGTCTGTTGAGCCTGTTCCTCTGCATGTGGGTGTGTGCATGCGCCTTCGAGTCAGTGTTGACTCCCTGCAGTGGTTTACCATTGCTTCCTTCCTAAGGCTGAGAGAGTGTGACTGGCCTGAGGTCACCCAGATGGCTTTGTGCCTAAGGCAGGACTAGAACTCATGGTCTCCCGGTTTCTAGTCCAGTGCCTTAACCACTGCACCAAACTGGCTCTTGCTCCTCTGTTGGGTTCTTTTATTTATGGCATGTGACTTCTGGGGTTAGCTTCTGCTGCAGTGTCTTCTCTGTTCTGTCTGAGGAGACTTCATCCTCTCTTTGCAGCCAGGGTGTGGCTTTTGCTGTTCAAATGCTGCTCCTTTTTTTAAACACTGCGCTGCCTAGAGGGATGGTGTTTTCAGGCAGGAATACAAACGTCTCAAGTATGGCAGGTGACAGTCCATCTTTTCTTTTTGCAAATCCTGTATGATCACCATCAGTGGAAGGCATTTTCTCTTACTCCTTCCTTAGAGTCACAAGTTGTGTGAATTCTGTTCCCTTAAAGGAAAAAAAAATGGATTTTTTTGTCAGATTGAAGAAGGGATAACATAGGAGAGTTATAAGCTGAAGTCTTATGAAGTCTATTTAAATGATGTGAATGAGGCAAGAACATTTCAAAATGTCTGGAAGCTTCCTAGTAGACATAAAGGTATATGGAATCACACATGTTGCAATTCAACATATTTGTAATCAGTATGTGTATGCTAGTGCTCCCCGGACAGAAATTCACACCCCCCTTCTTTCTCCCTCTTTCTTCTTCATGTTGTTGTGAAATTTGTACCCCTTCTTTCTGTTTATATAAGCACTGGTGCCGTGTTGTGATTTTATGGATTTCCACCCTGTGGTAACCTTACTCACAACAGATTAATTTAAATGCATGCTTGTGCAGTGAAGTATGGCTGCTTGCAGCTGCAAAAATTAAAAGCAATAATCAGTCGTATTTCAAGAGGGATTCTTTTTTCATTGTTAGGAGCTCGTGTTGTCTGACCACAGCTTTTGCCGTTGCTCCTAGTGCTTTTTTTCAAAACTGCCTAGATCTGTTGTGCAGCATGAAGCTTTTATTGTCAGCCCTTCAGGGTAGACCAGACCAGGAAACAAGCTCCTCTGAAAGGCTCGAGTCATACTTTATTGTGCCAAGCCATCAGAAGCCTCTTGTGCCGCCCCTGAGTCTAGGAGGAGCCAGCCTGGCCTTCTTCCGAATACCATCTCGTTCCCCGGGACTTAAGGAAGGCTTCGGCTCTCTTTGCTTATGTAACAGTCCCTACCTATTTCCCTCATGGTCACATCTCCCTGATTCTCTACAATTATTTATATAATGAATCAGTTTTAAAGCGATCGAATGTAATGAACCCAACTTTCCCAGCATCTTCTTATTCGCTCAGGCTGTCCAGCAGCCACAGCTCTGTTAATTGGCCTGCTAATCCTACCTGACCTTGACTGGTCTAGAAAACCAAAGTACTTGGATAGGAGACCAGCAGGAAATATCACAGTTAGGCTAGGCTAGATGGGGAGTTGAAAGGATCCTGGAAGAAGGCAAAGGAAAACCTCTTCATGCGTATCATTGCCAAGACAATAGCATAAAAACCCATCCATATAGCTGTGGGGAGTTGAGCTCATCTTGAAAGGGACAACCCTTTATTTTTGAGAAAACCCACATTCGTTTTTTTATTTAGAGTCAAGGGGGGTGGCCTTCATGTGCCCCTGCTTTTGTGGCTAAAATTGGAGAAGGCCCACCTTTTAGCCTGCTCATTGGAGAGGTGAGGCATTTTGGATGCCTCGGCTCTGGGTGGCACTGGCCCCTCGAGGGCTCCCTTCGGTGTCTTCAGTTTGGCTCCGCCAGCCAGCTTTCATTTTCTTTCTATGAATGTGGCCCACTTAGACGATGAAGCACGGCAATGTAGTGTCTCACCATTTTTACTTTCTAAAAATACCAGAACAGCTTTGCATGGAAAAGAACAAGTTTCTGAATAAGAGGTGTGGCAGACAACAGCTGTTTTAATATAAACATGTAAGGCCAAGAGGAGCAGGAAGTTGGGTAGTCCCAGCCCCCTTGATTTAGAGAGGGAAACTGAACACAGTCTTAACATAAATGATCTGCTTAATTTAGGGAAAATATCTTAAAAATATGTGACACTTTTGTCCTTCCATCAAGACTATCAAGTATGATTTTCTAAATAGCATTAACTGATAAAGATGTTTGCGACAGTCTTTGATTTTTTTTTCCATTTAGAATCCTCTCAAAGGGAACAAGGGTGCCTTCTTTTTCAGACATAAAAGGGTAAAGGCTGTAATGATTGTTTTTATAAAATGTTTTCTTTTTCCTACGTTTAAATTGTTGTATCAGAGATGGGTCTTGCATAAATCCGTGTAATACATCTGTATTTGGTTCAGTTGAACTCTCTCTTCTTTTGTCAAGCCCTTAAATGTATTACTTCTGTTGGCCTTTATTCAGGGTGGAGCTTTTTTGACTGTATTTCAGAGAGTTTCTTACTGAAAGTAAATGTTAATCCCCTTGATCCAAAACTGTTATCACTTGGGTTGACCGTGTGCTGCAAAGTCTTTCCTGGCTTTTCGGCACGGCCCTCCTTCAAATTGGACTTCTCTGTGCCTAGTAGCAAAAAGAGCCCACT